GGGCTTTAGATCAACTACCATATGTACTTATCTATGCGTCCATTTATGTATCGATCTTACTGTCTATCTACCCTTTCTATGGATCGATCTGTCGACCTATCTACCTGTCTACACATCTACCTATCTATTTACGCACCTACCCGCCTACCCACCGATCTACCTACCTACCTACCTACCTACCTACCTACCTACCTACCTACCTACCTACCTACTGTCTGTATGTCGGTCTGACTGTCTGTATGCATGTATGTAATGATGTATGCATGCAGGTTGGCATGCAACAACGTAGCGAAAGCACCATCAGCCACTAGTTTTCGCCGCAAACAATAGCGCACAAGCCACCGTTTTGAATCAGCGCAATCCCTCCACCGGTGAAGGCCTCAGGGAAAGGAGCAGTCTCATCCCGGAAAAAGACACAAGCCGGGCCTTGGCGGTTCCGGTGGCAAGAACAGTTCCGAGCTGTTGCCCAACCGCGCCTCTGGAGACACGTGGCCGATAATAAAGCCATGCGATCCGCCGGAGAAGCGGCCGTCTGTCATCAACGCCACATACTTCCCCAGTCCGGCACCCATGATTGCACTCCTCAAAACCGCGTTGCAGAAGTCAAGCTGCAGCACTTTGCCAATTTCTGCTCTTCGTGGATGCAACTGAAACGGCCTGCTGTCCTGTCCCGTCCTTTGCTCCTTGCAGCCCAGGGGCGTTGGTGTTAGCATCTCGCGCATCCCAGGTCCACCCTTTGGGCCCTCATAGCGAATCACGATGAAGTCTCCCTGCACCAAGTCGAGAGACATGATGGCTTTCTCTGACATGCTCGACCGTCCCTGGATACACAAAGCTTTCCCTACACCCTAAACCCCCCTAAACGCTAAACCCCTAAACCCCCCTAAACCCTAAACCCCTAAACCCTAAACCCCAATAAACCCTAATAAACCCTAATAAACCCTAATAAACCCTAATAAACCCTAGTAAACCCTAATAGTAAACCCTAATAGTAAACCCTAATAAACCCGCAACCCTCTAAGCCCAGGCTGGGCCTTGTTGATCTTGCCTTGCTCCAGGCCCTTCAGCATCAACTCCTCCAAAAAGCCGGCAAGGGGTTTAGGGCCTTTGAGGGTTTTTGGGGTTTAGGGGTTTAGGGTTTAGGGGTTTAGGGTGGGGTTGGGATTTAGGGTTCAGGGCTTAGGGCCTATAGGGTTTAGGGTTTAGGTTAGGATCTCGGGACTTTCAAACCCTCTCTCGCAAGAGGCACTCTCGAGGCGAGCTGTAGCTAGCGGACTGGAAACCTCTGGGGTAAACGTTACAACCGTTATACTACGCTATACATGTATGTATACGTATTATATGTATATCTACAAAATGTACCCTTTGCACACTAGTATGTATGTTTGCACGTATGTATGCATGCATGCATGCATGCATGCATGCATGCATGCATGCATGCATGTTTGTGTGTATATGTGTATATGTTTGTATGCAAATGTAAATGAACATGTATGTAACTAGACATATATGAATCATATGAATTATAGTATATTGCATACATGTATATTTTGTTGTAATACTTGGCTTGGGTGACATGGGCAATACAAGAGCCAGTGCCAACTTCGAGGCTCTTGCATGAGACTGAGAGCCAACAGCTATTTCCAGCCGTGCCTAGACCCTCTGAGAACTGAGCTCTGAAACATCCGAAGCACACAGCGGAACTCGTGTAAAACCACGGAAGCCTCGCTGTCGAAGACGTTCGCCTTGCCTGTGAAGGAGGTGCCCTGACGTGCCAATCCGAGCGAGCTGGGGTCTCTTAGGGCTGAGGGGCACAGCAAACCCTGAAGCCCTGCTAGTAGCCCATCATCCGCCGAGCAGGACACTTCACGCACATGAACCCAGTCCAGGGGCATGCACCTCAAACCAGTTTGCTACGAGTATCGGGTCCAGGCTATACGGTAGCTAAGCTACCAGAGGCCGTGCGCAGTAACTGTGTTTGCCAACATCCACACTCGTCTCGTCCCAGCAGGAGGACATGACACAAGTCTGCCATCTGCTCTTGAAGCAGTCAACTCTTCAGCCCATGCCTCCTTACCCGTGATCTTGGCCACAGCACCATCTACGCAAAGATTGCCTCGCCTGGATGAGGTGGAGATGCTCGGAGCTTTCTGTGAAGACACTGTCCGATAGATTCGATGATGCTGCATAAGCTTCCTTGCTTCTTTCTTGCATGCTGCTGAAACCTAGTTTGGAATTCGACTGATCATCATGCGAATGCAAAGCACGGTGCCTTCTTCGTTGCTGAGTCACTAAGAAGTTGTCCAAGGAGGGTGGGAGTCTACCTATAGTCTCCATCGTAGTTCCTTTTTGGGGTTACCTTTTGGGATCCTTAATATAAAATTGTTTAAACCAAAAAAAGGAACTACAATGGAGACTATGGGTAGGTCTAGGATATGCAATTCCCATGCTGCATCTTGGAATGGCCAACTGAGGAGACCAAATGGAAGTTCTAGGGGAGGTGATGGTTGACTAGAGCTTGTACTCGTCGCCGGTCGGAGAGTTCAGACAAACAGGTGTACAGCTTCGCGTGGATTCGACTTGGAAAATGATCCTTGCTCACGAGAATAAGCCATACGAGTTCGAACCCCTAGTGATCTGGTGCAAACCTGGGTTTCAGCCGTGAAACTTGCTTCTGTAGCCTCTGATTCTTCGACTGCTACTGGGATCCTGCTTGCCAGGCCGCAAAATCTTGATGTTGCCCGTCTTCTGAATGCACCTGCGTGACAAGAAGTCAAGCCGAAGGGCAGGCGATGAAAAACACTGCATGCTCAATGGCTCTGTTGTGTCTTAGCTGAAACCGGCTCCCTCTTTCTCTTGGTAAGCACCCGGCTTCTCCAATGGTAGCATCACGCTCTGCGCACCAAAATCCAGATCCGGAACACTGGCCAGATTCTGGGCCAACGTCTGCCCAGTGCACTGAGACAGCGCCGGGAAATAAGCACAATACTCAACTTCGCCGGACATTCGCAAAACTCCTTTGCATGTCCATCAGCACACAGGCTAAGATCCGGACTGTGAGGCAGTCTCCGTGCAGCCAGCCAAGCTTGAGCAAATATTTCATGACAGCGGGGATGCCACCGATGCGGTGCACGTCCTGGCACAACATAGGCTTACGTTCTGACTGGGAGGCCATGGACACTAAAGAGGCTAGCTTAAGCCGTGCACCTCCATCCGGTATTTTCCGCTGGGCTTCAAATCGGCAACCAGCGAGGTCTTGTCGCTAATCCGTTGGAAATCATCTATGTTGAGCTCGATCTCAGTCAAAAACAATGGCACCGAACTGTGGATCCAACGCACTGCTGGCATTGTTGCCAAGGTGCACCAGCAGTTGCTGCAATCGCAAGCAAGTGAAGCACTGCATTCGTCGATCCGCCTAGCACCACGATGCATTCCACTTTTAGGTACACGCTGCTCATAGACCACCAGCACTTCAGGTCCAGATGCTCTGCCTAATGCGTTGACGAGCACGATGGCATTCTCAAAAGACTTCTTTGTGACGATGTCCGAGGGCTTCAGATTTCTTTCCAGCATGGCCTCCAGGGGAATAAACAGTGGGTGCCGCTGCGCAACTGCTTCCGTGAGTGCAATGGAGCGCCTTGACGCATTTGGCCGCTCTTTCGCACTCTGCTCGCCTTGGGATCTGAAGTATTGCAGGGGCTCGCATTGCTCCAAACTTCAAGCATATATGTAAGAATATATATATATATACACATGCACATAACACTTTTTCTATATTATATATATATATATTTATATGGCTGCTGCCATAGCGCATACCATTGATGTGAGGGCTAATGACACGGATAGGGCTAAGGTTATAATGTTGTTTGGAATCGGGAGTCAACCGAGGATCCTCTAGTATAGATTTAACCTTAGGGTTCGCACGTGTATATACACACATACATGTACATGTACGGGCAAGTCGACAACAAGTCCGAGGTGATCATATGCTACAGTGAGAAACGGGGGGTGCCATATGCAATACGAGGAGGTAAACAAACAAATGCTGGCATCATCCCTAAAAATCTAAGGGCCATCATTTAAGCAACGCCAGAGCGAAGACTGCAAGGATCGTGGCTCTTAATGGGTTTCGTTTTGGGTAGTTTAATATTTAAATGAATGTGACGGCTACCGTCGTGGTTAATGTTAAACAAGTATTTGGCTTACCGGTACTCATATTTAACAGTAAATGTGATATCTGGGATGCCATGACTTTGAACTTCGGGGACTTGATTGTTCGTGCTAGGGATCCCACAGCTACATCTGGATTAACTAACCTGTTGATGAAGCCAATGGTCGGGGTTTTTCCTAGAGCCCTTTTTGGGATTGCGGTTGAAGGAAGTATCCGTTACAGTACGAAGGTTCCCAATGCGAACAACTTATGGGAAATATTAGGTCTGCGTGCATCTTGAAATCATATCCATTATCATTGCCAAGGGCACTGCAATGGGGGGGCCAATCAGGCTGCTGGTTATCATAATATAACCTTCAGGTCGATATGGGAGTTCAAGAGGGAATGTATAATGGGCTTCAGTCGACATAGCATTCTCATCCATATTAAAACGTGAATCTATAAGGACTCTCCTTTGGGTGAACATGAAATAGACGAATACCGTCACCATTGGGGGCCCATGTAAGGTCTATAATGGCAGGGTTAGTCTTCGGGAGATACTGTTGTTTAGAAATAGGAGTCAGTCAAGGCCCACGGTCATTCATACATATTGCTGGGGCTTTGATCTAAGACTACAGTGAAGGCTACCTTGACAGAAATGACGTTCATCGTTGGAGAAATCATCTCTCGGAGTATCTGCGTGAAGGGTCGCAAGAATTCAGAATGAAGGCTTCTGCCCATATACATATGCTGTCTCCTCGGAACTAAACTTAACTTTCGACCTGGATCATGCACCAGCTAAATGTAGGAGGATTGGTGGCGCTATCGCGGCACCTCGCGGTAGTTCTTGGGGGGGGGGGTTAACACATGTGTATATATATATATATATGTATGTATAGGCAGAGAGAGAGAGAGATGCCTATTTATCTGTTTATATCTGTTTGTTTATGTATTTAAAGATTGCATCGAGGCCACACGCACTGAACCCTATTGAAACACGAAGCCCTAAACCCAAAGCGAATGAGGCTGCCGCTTCTCAGGTGACGTGGCTGGCGAGGAGCTCGAGTAAGGAAGCGAAAGCCCAAGGGCCTGGCGTTCTAAAGCAGAAAACCTACCTTTGGTTAGTAGGGAATGGAAGAATGGTAGTAATGGTACTTATAATAGTTCCCATTCCTCCATTCCCTACTAACCAAAGGTAAGAAAAAGGCTCTCCAGTATTCGGGACGCCCCTTGTACCCTTACGGCCATGTAACCCCGAAAAGCATATTGGCAAGTTAGAGCGTAGAGCGTAGATGCAGGGCCATGTATAGGGTCTAGTGACGTCTGGTGAGTCTAGTGTGCTCCGGGCGGTCCTCGGTGGCCGTTGCCATGGTGTTGGCAGTGTACATGCCACCACATGCCCCAGGCCCGGGACACGCATTCCGCACAATGTCTGCTCGGTCCTCGCAGCACCAAGCGAAACAAAGCCCCTGAACCTTAAACATCCCCAAACCCTGGCGAAGTGGCACGAATCCTCGTCAGAGATGGTCCCAGCAATGAACTTACCATACGCCTCTCCGGCCGGTGTCAATCACCACAATGCAAAGCGTGCATGTGCACAACATACATACGTACATATGTACATACATACATGTACATGCTCATGCACATATACGTTGACATTCACATACAAATATATGTACATATACGGGTGCAGAAAAGATACATGCACGGACACGTGCATGTGCACATGCACATAAACCTAGATCTAGGCCTCGATCTAGACATATAAAGACATATACATATACATAACACACACATACATACATATTTATATATATTTATATACATATACATATACATATATATATATATATACATTTATGTAGACTGTGACTTGTAGACTTAGTCTCTAGTGTCTCTGTGTGTGTGTGCGCCCCCACGCATTTGTGCGTGCATCTAAGTGTATGCATTTCTACACACGACAACATCGGCCTGCACGGATATATCGACAGACAGACAGGCAGGCAGGCAGGCAGACAGGCAGACAGACGGACCGACGGACGAATAGCCCTGTCGAGCAACCAAACGCGCCTGACACAAATTGCCAAGTCAAGAAGAAACGGCAACGACCTCTTTGAAAAACAACAAACCGCCTGTAAACATATTGGACTGTACCTCTTACATCAAGTGTTGCGTAAATGATGCTAAGACTAGCACGAAAACTCCTGGAAAAGCGCAGTCCTGGGGTTCCCGCTTTGTATGTTTATGTAAAGGCCTACGCCCGTAGACATGGGTATGTTTGTGCAGGGGCGTAGGTGTCGGTGTAGGTCTAAGGGTATTGCATGTACGGGCAAGCACGTGGATGTATGTAGGTGTATGTCTACTGTGTGTGAATGTATGTGCATGTGGCAGCCTCGAAGGTGGACACGATGTCAAGATCTTCGCCCTTGCAGGAGCGCCCCGATGCAATGGTTCCACCATAGAGCATCAAAGAGGGCCTCGGTGGGCTTATCACTTTTAGGGTTGAGGCTGTGGAGGTGGGCTTTCGGGTGTAGGCTGATCTCGGACAGAGGTCTTAGCATGTCTTGGCATGGTTCATTTCGAGCCAGTCGGGATGAAGAGTGCAGAAGTGGCTTTTTGTGGCTTATTGGGTTTAAGCCTTAAAGTTTAAAGCTTTGGGCAATCCCCGGTCATTATAATAGGGTTCAGATGCAGCTTCCGGTCAGGGATTGGATTTGCGGCTTAAGGTTTACTAATGATCGTCGACCAACCTGGGAATGAGCGCAAGAAGCCCAAGACCCTAAAGTCGAAACCCGAAACCCACTCAATAGCAGCATAAGCTTCCGATTCATCCGGATCATGGCCATAACGCAGCCTGCTCCACATCGGTCGACACCGGAGTAGATGCTTAGGACTGTTTGGCGGCGTTGACTGTTCTGGAGCACTGTTCATCGTAAACCCTACACTCCGGAATCCTTACACAATCCAGAAACCGAAGCTACAAACGCAACACCGACAACCAACAATCAAATGCGGCCTGGCATGTTCTTGTCGCATCCAGGAATTGTCACAAGGGCGTCATAAAATTGAGCTCCCATGACCTGGAATGGTTTTTAGGGTCGCGGTTTGTAGGCAACTGAACAAAGAGTGGCAGTTATATAATAATATTGCACGTGTGCCCGGATTCTTTCTTAGAGCCGCTTCGTATATCAACGGGCTTGGGGCGTCTAGTTTAGGCTTGCCACTGCAGTCGTAACGAGGACGCGCAAAGGCCATGTAACATCTGAGCTGACTGACGAGGATTGAATCAACTTGAGGTTTTCTGGAATTCGCTCCACTGGCTCCTTATTCTACAGCCCTGAAGAAATTGGGCTTATACTGAGGATGCTATCACTACAGGGTTCCCTCGCACTTGATCCGAGCAGCTGATTCGATACTGTCTGCGATGATCTCCTGGTCGGCAGTTGAGGATTGTGGATGAAGAGAGGCCACCCGGAAAGCAGTCTAGTGTCAGTAAAGAAGCCTAATTAGCTGGAGCCTGACCCAGAAAAGCCCATCTGCAACCCTACGATTCAAGACAAGCAAACTCCAGGGCAAGGGCCACTGACATGCTAAATGGCGCTTATACCGTTCTTCAAACGATGATTGCCCCAAGCCGCGCATTGACTTGGCTTTATCGAGGCTTGTAGAGACGGAAAAGCGAGACTTGCGAAAAACATCACGGCCAATCTGCGCACTTGCAGCCGGGCATCGCGGGACGGCAAGGAGTACATCATTCCTTTGGTACCCATGGACATACCGTCCGAAACTCCAATCGTGTTGAATTGGAAGCCGTACATCTTGGGATCCTGCGGCAACAGGCCTAGGAACTAGGACCTAGGAGCTCCACGCAAGAAGAGGTCAGAGCGCACCGCCGACGGCATGACAGGACTGTGAGGGTTCAGGCTCCTTGTCAACTTCCTTCTTGACATCATCCCCCAGAGAGAGCAGGTGCATGTTGCAGGGATTGCCCTGGTACCACACAGAGCAAATTCCAACCTGCAGGCACGGGATGCTGGAAACAGCTGCAGAACTGCTGGCCTTGAGGCAATAAACTAGGACCAGGAAGCCCAAAACCCTTTGAGGATGATCCCCAAGCTAAAGATCCGAACGTTCAGGATTCCCGTCATGGGAAAAGGTGCCTGAGCTTTGTTGAGATCTTCCTTCTTCATGCCCACAGCATGCAGCATCGCTTGGGAGGCCCCCTGGCAAGACAGAGATGGCGCAAGAGACGGAGACTCGAAGTAGGAATCGGGCAACGCAATCAATGCGCAACGCAACGCACGGTGCATGACGCGCCCTGGCCTGCGATTTGGGCTGTGTCAAGGCCTTTGAAGTCCTGCTTCAGAGCTGCCATGTGTTCAGGAGTCGATGGGGCTTTGGGAAGCAAAGTCGAGATGCAGATGCAAGAACAAGTCAGATGGCTAATCGATGACCTGTTGATGCCGCCATCATCGTACTCGATGGTCGCCATGCCACTGGAACGCGAAACCTAGGGAGAAACCCACACTCATCGCGTGAATAAGCTGGTGCCCTTTTGATCTTTACTCAGAGACGCGGAGTCGGCCTGCGATGATGCTACACTGCCGCTCACCGGATGTCCAGGACTCTCAAAACTACTTCCCCACAGCCGCCATCGGAACAGCTGCCTGGGTCGTCGGTATGCCGCTGTGCTTCAGTCACCTGCATCGCCCAGCTCGTACTCCTCGAACCTTTCCTCGACTGGTTCATATCCGGCCATGAGGTACTCAGCCAGTGCACCCCCTGCAGCACCCATCACGCAGGCTTTCTCTTCTTCCCGTGTCGCGTACATCCCTGCAGTAAATGATGCAGCACTTGCAAAAGCAACATAGTGACTGGTATCTTTCTTACGATAGACAGTTTTGTCTTGGTCACGCGATGCTTGTTTCGGATGCGCTTGCAGAGCTGGGCGTTCTGCTTCAGAAGCTTCTGATATGTCTTGCTCCCTTCCATGAGATCTCCGCTCATGCTGCGGCCCGAAGGTAACCTGCACCTGCTGATGCGCTTGTTAAACTCATCTGCTAGCCTGTTGTCGTCCCACCCCATGTCTCTGGCGAGGCGTTTCGAATCCTTGTCCAAAATTGGGGCGAGGTCTTCAAGCTGTTGCAGGTTCATCTCGCGCTGGATGTAACAGTCAAGGCCCTTCCGCAGATCCGGCAGTGACACCAGGAAGGCTTCAGCATCGCGCCAGAAGTTGTTGTAGCAATCGCGCTCGAACCTCTTACTCCACCAATGCCAGCATCTTCCTCCAGTTTCTCTCCAACTTCCAGCAGAGCTTGTCGCAGCTGCTGCTCGTTCCAGCCGTGAGCATGGGCCCACAGCCAACCCTTCTCTGCCGATTCGGGCTTCTCTGGCGACAAAAGCGCCTGCGGCGCGTGTGCACGGATGAGCTTGTCGAACTTTACCTCCAGTATCTCCTTCCGAGTGGATTTAGAGTTCTCACTCAAGTCTGAGTACTGCAGCCAGTCTCGGATCTCTGACAGCTGCAGGGCAGGTCGCTCAGCACCAAGGGATTTGAGAGTAGACAGCAAACGCTTGCATGCATTCTTGAACTCGCTTTGGTACCTCTCTCCACCGAAAGCATAGTTTTCAATAGCTTCCCGGTCTTGCCGCTTCGGAGAAGGCAGTCTCACGGCAGTCATCTGGTCAAACAGCGCAGCCACCTCTGGCAGGTGTCACAACTTTGCTCCAAGCCGTCCTCCGTCAGGTCATCGACATCCGAGTCGTCACGACGGATGTAAACCAAGCCAGGCTTGCAGCCGTGCATCTGCATCTCTTCCATGAGAAGTGCCAGCATGCTCATCGCGTCCTTGAAGGCGTCGTCCAGGACATTGCGGTCATTCCAAAGGAAGAGTGTGTTGCTGAAGTAAGTCAGGGCGAGCAAGTTCTTGCTCATCTGCGCATTCTTGAAGCTGGTGGAATGGCTAACACCCTCGGAATCCATTAGAAGAAGCTTTTCGTCAGGAAAGAGCACGGCAGCAGCACCCTGTGTGCAGGGCACAGCTGGGTCATGGGTCACTTCGAAGCCAGGTGGCCGCACCGGAGTGTCGGGTTTGCAAAGCTGGCGTAGAGCCTCGGCCAGGGTGGACTTGCCATTCCTGGAGGGACCACATAGCACCATTTTCTTCAAGCTGCCCGCCCGCTCAGCTTGCAGGATCTCCGAGTCATTGCTCAGCCTCGCTTCGATCCCGTCTCGCCAACAGAGAACACGGGATGGACGAGGCTCTCACCCCCCAAAGCAAACTTGCTTTGAGTTAGAAAGCCCCGGCGGCCTGTCATGAGCATCCACTGGCCCGAACCACAAGCACACGCCTGTGGTAGGCGGAGCTGAGGTGCCAGGCCTCGGGTAGTCGTTGGGGTCGCCAGAGTCCAGCGAACCCGGAGAGCTCGAAGTGAGCGATGTGGTTGCCACGGTGCCACAGCCATTGGCGGGCAGTTCGGAAACACACGGCCGGTTCCGGCCTTGAAGGCAGTCGGTCTCGAACTCTGTCTATCTGAGCCAGAACTGCGGTTCACAGAACTTTTCGGCAGTACTTACCTGCGAGAGCTCCAGGTTTGTGAAGCGGACTCTGAGAACCCGGCTGGGAGGAACTGTGCCCAGCAACGTCAAGTGACTGTTTTGCGAAGCCAAATGCTGCCAGCAAAAGCATGCGATCATCCACACGAAACGTGTTGCATGAAGGATTGCTCTCTCAGGGATCTCTCTTGTACCTGCGTCTTAACTCGACAGCCCTGTGTCTGAGACCTTTTTCCTCAATCGATACTTGGCACCTTTGGCGAAGCAAAGCCTCCACACCTGAGCTACGGGTTAAATCGCACACCATTGGAGCGCGACAAGCATCGGTAAGCTGCGGACCTGGGACTACAGTCCACTGCCCCGGCACCAGGTTGCCCAAGCCTCTGAATATCCCAGAGGCCAGGATTCGAGTTGATGCCCATCATACACAGCCATGTGGGTAGTTGTCTAAATGAGGGCTCCCTTTAGGGTGATTTTATATAAGGGTTCCGTACTAGAGGACCTGGGGCCCTATTTTAGAGAACTACCCATATGGCCCATATGCATATCTGAGGCTGCGTCGAACACTGCCGACTCTGACGCGAGATACTCGGAATAGAAGGAGCCCGGCCTGTGCGCACCTGGTAACTGTCCAGAAGCCAAGCACTGCCACAGAACTCCACCTCTGGCAAATGCAGGCTAGGCACATCTGCCGTAGTGCAGATGAAGTCACGGTCCCACCTTGGCCAACTTGTCTCTTGTGGCACTGACGACATCGAACGCAAAGGTCATGAGTACAAGGACCCGTTAAAGCCGTCATGCGAAGTTGAGAATCCAGCTGAAGACCACTTGAAGGCGCGAGGACGTGCTGGGCTTCGCCTCCTCTCAATGCTGCTTGGCTCTGAAGAGGGAGATCCGGTGTAGCTAAAGGAATTGCATAAGATGTTAAGCTATTGCGCAAGCTGCCCGAAAACCAAAACTCCTACAGTAATATCACGACGAAAAACATAAACCAACCGTCACCCCCAAACACCACCCAGCAACAGTTCGCCACCAGAAACAGCCAAAACAACAAACCCTGAATCCGCAGTGCTGCGGCCCAGCCTCAACGACAGCTGCAGCGTCCTCCTTCAGCATCCGAGCCTCAGAAACTTAAATGGTTGGGGTCCGGAAGGCACGGAGCTTTCCTGGCAGAAGCTGATAAGCAGCACTCATGGACGGACTCTTTCTATCAAAAGCCTGGAGAGGCGTGAACGAACTGTTTCAGACTTTCTGGCGTGTCTGCTTCGTATCGATGGAAAACACGAGGAAGCAGTTCATTTGCCAGTAAGCCACGGACTTTTTCTGCGCGGGGAATATACCCAGGCACCACTCGGACCTTGCATCAGACTGCCAGGGCGCTTGAAAAAAGAAAGCATTCCAATGTAAACACCCCGAATTATCAGATAACCAATATCACGATACTCAGAAACATCATCCAGACAAGCATAAAGGTCAAGGCTCTCGACACACAAGCAAAAGAAAGTACCGGGTCCCTCACATGAGCCTCCTGCTCGCAGAAAGTGCGCAGGTTTAGCTGAAGAGCTGATAGTTGGCCAGACGTGACCTCGACAAGCTCGGACAATACTTCAAAAAAGGCTTCGACAGATGTATCTAGAGCCATATGTGTCTGTGTGTGTATGTATGTATACATACATATATATATACACAGACAGACACATACACACACATACACACACACACAAGCATGCATGTGTGTGTATGTATGTATGTATGTATGTATGTATGTATGTATATAGATATGCACATACACATATTGAGTTGCTATTGTGCACGGGAGGTAAGTAAGCATGGCGCACATTCTCGTATACTCTTTTGTACAACACCACCACCAACCAACCAACCAACCAACCAACAACCAACCAGCCAGCCAGCCAGCCAGCCAACCAAACAAACAACACAAGACAACACTCCAAGCCCAAGCACAGCAGCTTGAAACGTGGCTCCCTCGCCCGGCCTCACCCGTTGTCACGATGTCATATTCCTCTTCGCTTAGGGTCCGGATAGGGCTCAGCTTTTGTAGGGCTGAGGGGTTAAGTTGTGGGACTGAGGGCAAAAAGCTAATTACCACCAGCAGCCAACAAATAGCAATGAATTCGATGACCCGCCTTGCTGGAGGAACGATAATGGGGCTCAAGATTCTGGCTAACGGTAGAGCAGTGCTGGGCGTTTTCGGCTTACTGCTGCGAGCAGAATGCTCGGTGAATATGATAAGACGCTCATGTCTAGTGCGGCATTTGTTTTCGACTTATATTATATTGTTAGTTAAGACTCAAGACTCAGGCAAAACAGGACGATGACCGCGGCTGACCCATCCCTCTAGAGATGGACGGACACGACGTCGTGAGTGGCAGGGTCCTTCTCAACCAGCGGATCTCGCGCGACAGTCGTCGAAACCTTGTCAGAAACGAAGAATTTGAGCATGAGGCTTATAGTGTCTCGCCGCTCAGGCTTCGGAATGTATGTCGTCTAGGTCAGGTGTCGTGCCTCAGAACAGAACATCATCACTATACGGCAGCACTGCTGCGCAACCCCGAGCACTAAAAATCCAAATCACGGCGCACCCCCAAAGCTTAAAGTTTCAATCTTCACGTCTCAGACCGTCAACCCCTAAACCACAAGCCGTCAGTCCCGTCCCTGAGGCCCATGCCCGGCCGTCCTGCGAGAACAACAGGGCTCCGCTCCTGGACCACATCTACGTTTCGATGCTCCTGGTTCTTATCGCTACTGTGCCAATGACTCTGCTTTGTGGCACGATCGGCCGGTGCTAAGACTCCTCCGCAGAATACTACCACTACTCTAGACAATCGAGTTGTCTTTGTTACGTTGGCATGTGTGTGTGTGTGCTACCGGCAACATCGTCCGTTATCACCATCATCACCATCTCGTGGGACCACAGCTCCAACACCTCTACTTGACGGCGATGAGGAAGACGACGAGTAGCGTGCCACGCAGGCTATGACCACCGCGATGTCGGACACCGTTGCAGAGCGACACTGAGGCGCCAGCGTAGCCTCGTCCAGAACATCCGCCGCATCCAGCTTGCTTAGCTGGCGCCTGAGTGCCCTAAACCCTAAACCCTAAACCCGGTCATCCATGACATCGTTTCCCTGCACTCGCTGCTGAGGCCAAGGCGGGTCATGTCGAGTTCGACAGCTTGGCGCCCGGTTTTCAGGCACCTATCATGTTTGCATGATCTGCAACCTGTTTGTATTATATTATGTACAACGTAAGGTAATAAATAAATAAATAAATACACAAATATATATATATATTGTTATTAGTATAATATACATATACATATTAGTATAATATACATATACATATATACGTGTAAATAAATAAATAAATATACACGCATGAAATCCACGAAGCCTCGGGAAGAGACCTGAGCCCTCGGCCAAGAGCTTTCGGGCCAACGGGACGCCCTTCCCTGCCCTGCAGGAGGCATAGTGGGCAGGCTTGTGCAGCCTCAAATCCAGAAGCGGGACGGGTTTAGGGTTCGGGTTTAGGGTTTGTAGGGTTTAGCGCCCTAAACCCCTATAAAGCCTACCCCTTAAGTCTTAGAAGCCTTGAAAGCGCTGGTTGGCACTGTTCAAAACGATCGAAACAGGAGCATCAACTTCAAGACCGGCCCACTGAGCAAACAGGCTTGGGACATGGCAGGATGGTCACTTTGTCGTCCTGAAAGCTGGTTCTTAATGTAGGCACATGCGATCTGCGATCTTTCATGATGTGCTGCATATGGTTCAGAGTACTTTATGCGGCACCTTATCCAAGAAGAGTATCTCTTCCTTTCAGGCACATTGTTCCGCTCAGATCCAAAAGATTTTTGAACACATCTCTCCGTCAACTCTTGAATGTCGATGGCTTTAAGTTTAGCGATTTGTGCTAAGGAATCAGGGGCTGGGGCACCCGAATCCTGTACACCATCACAAGTTTACAGGAAAAGTCCGATGCAGGAAGCCTCGGCATAATGATGCGCAGCAGAATGCAGGATTCGGAGCACCAGTCTTGGAGAAACGGTATAGGGTTCATGATGATTTTCGAGCTCTGGCCGAGCATCCCCTCCGCCAAACCAAACCATCCCAGGCTCTTCTGGAGCCTCCTCTCCCCCGAACGCTCTGAGTCTGTGGGGCCTGCATGCGCCGTGCCCGAGGGGTCAGCTCAATGGCCGCAGTGCTGGGCACGAGGGCCTGAGCTTGCGAAGATCCGGGCTGCTCAGGGCTTCAGGGATTGACTAAGACTAAGACTTAAGTTAAGAAGGGCTTTCGGAGGCTAGGGTCTAAACTTGGGGCTCTCTGCAGTTGAATCGTGACAGCTGGGCGTCCATATATCTCTATATATATATATATACGCATACAACAGACCGGATACAGACCCTCTTGTACTTCGTTCTGGCAGCGCTATCAGGCACGAGTATGCCCACATGTGAACAGCATTCAGCATTTCTATATAAACATATAAGTACATACATGCATACATACATACATACATACATACAGACAGACATACAGAAATACATACATACATTTATTCATTCTTACATACGTTCATACATACATACGTACATACATACATTCTTACATACATACGTACACGCATACATACGTACATACATACATTCATACATACATACATACATACATACATACGTACACGCGTACATACGTACATCCATCCCCCCATTCATCTGCATCCATCCCTCCCTCTGCATACATACATGAACACATGGACATACATACATGGGTTTCTCACCACTGTTCAGGGTATCCAGGGACTCCAAGCACTCGGGTTTCCATATGCTCACATTCGATAGTGATTGTCTTCTTCGGGCTTGGTGGTCGCAGCCAAGGCAAGCTTTCACACACGGTGCCTAGCTCTGCAGAGCTTGCTGAGGCTTCTGGCAGCCCCACTCTTCGCTGGCTGACCATCCACCAAGATCTGCCCGAGTCCTTCTCTTCACTGCGAGAAACTTTGGATTCCCCTCACGAGCTTCTAAGCGAGAAACTCATGTCGAGCTGAGCTCCGGTCTCGCATACTTGGCAGCCTCGTTTCTGCTGCAGAGGCCAATCCTGCCCAACCAAACTGCATGAGCTCTCGCAACGGGGAAGATGTGGTATCTGTCCTGGCGCACAATATGCCCAGCCGCTCAGCCTCAGCAGTACAGTCGCCATGATGCTACATACTACTGTAATAATGCTACCACTACTATCTCATCACCATCACCACCCACTGTCGCAGCTACGACTGCAGCAGAAGCAACGACGACGACCTGCTGCTGCTGACGATGCTGCTGCGGCTGCAACTCCTCCTCCGCCTCCTGCTCGTCCTCTTCTTATGCCCCGTAACCACGACAACTAATTGACAACCAACTTTTAACTACGACATACTAGCTACTTCTAACTTCTAACTACTACTAACACAACTACTACTAGCTACGACTATTTACAAATTACAACAAGTACTACTACTACTACTACTACTACTACTATTACTACTACTACTACTACCACTACTACTACTACCAAAAATAAGAATAGCAATAAAAATAGTACTAATATTAATTACTACTACTGCTACCACCACCACCACCACGACGACGACGACGACGACGGCGACGACTCCGACTCCTACTCCTTCTCCTACACGTACACCTACACCTACTCCTACTCCTCCTACTCCTCCTACTCCTCCTACTCCTCCTTCTCCTCCTTCTCCTCCAACTCGAGCTCCTGCTGCTGCTGCTACTACTACTACTACTACTACTACTGCTACTACTACTACTACGACCACCACTACTACTACGACGACGACTACTACTACTACTAATACTACTACTGCTGCTGCTACTACTACTACTACTACTACTACTTCTGCTACTACTACTAGTACTACTCCTCCTACTCCTACTCCTACTCCTACTCCTACTCCTACTCCTACTCCTACTCCTGGTCCTACTCCTACTCCTACTCCTACTCCTACTCCTACTCCTACTCCTACTCCTACTCCTACTCCTACTCCTACTCCTACTCCTGCTGCTGCTGCTGCTGCTGCTACTGCTACTACTACTACGCCTC